GCATTGGTGCCACGCTTACTGTAGTCTCCTTTGCAGCCGTTGCTAGGTCTCGTCACGCAACATGCTCTCTCCGCCGTGGCGTGACAAGACCAAACAACGGTCGCTGGCTCGCATAATATTTACTGCCTAGATGAGCTCACAATTCTCTGTTGGTGTCGTTCTTAATGTGTGTCAATGTTGTTTTGATTCTATTGCAACACTATGTGTCACCCTAATTCCTTGACGTGACGGACACAAGGAACAATATGGCCCAATGCTGTGATTTGATTGGTGCGAGATACATACCCAAATGCGGCGATCTGATTGGTACGAGCAACATACTACTAGATACACTTCCTTAGAGTTGCTGTTGTTGTTTTTCTTTTCTTTTCATAAATTAATGCCTTAAAAGCGCTTTGATACGCCAATCAACAACACTGATATCAAATGAGAACAAGAATAATCAGAATGAGAATAATACAGAGGTTACATAGCGCCAATATTGGAAAGAAGTATTCTAAAGCGCTGTACATTAAATACTATTCATATATTAAAAGCTTTGCATAAAATAAATGTTTTAAGTTGTTTCAAAATGGCGAAGCTGATCGATACAATCTCTCAGCGACTTGCAGCGAGATCCAATAGACAGAAGCAACAAACGAAGGCCAGATCCCAGAAAGGAAAACATCGCACTTTTGAAACGAACACTGGGAGATTCAGTAGACGAGCGAAGAGCATAATTAGAAGCTGGTTTCAGAGACAAAAGATCTTTAATGTTGGGTGCACAAAAAAAGCAAATAGAAGCAATTTAACTCAAACTCTGAACTTTACAGAAGGCGCTGTAGGTGGATAAGAGCAAGTGTGGTAAGATCAAACTTTGCAATCTGAACCCCTTCAGTCTTTCGGATCAATATCAGTATCCGGGCAACTTCTGAAAAACAGCTTTGTCAAATAAACTATGCATGTACGTGTGTAACACTCTCTTCTCTCTTGCTGCTATCATTTATTTAGGCAAGTCAACATTCCACTTTAGAAAATAACTGTAATTTAAGTCTGTCAGTTAGTTTGAGTTGAGTTTTCTAACAAAGGAAAATCGTATTGTACCTATTTTTCATTCAAGATTGGTGAAAGAAAGAAAAGTAAGAACCCGCTGGTTGATTCTGGCTAATGAGTTCTTAATGAGCCCAGCTCATCCCCCACCTACCCCTGTTTCATTTTAACCTGCTTGGGAAAACAAGGTGATGAGAATCTCCAACACCTTTGACTTTATCTCCAGCCACTGATTATAAAAACTTGAAAATTACTGGTAACAAAAGTTAACCTACTTTTTTTTCCCTGTATTTCCCGGCCGTTTTATTCTTTTTCCCGCTGTCATTAACCCTTTACACCCTAACATTAATATCCACACTCTCCATACTCTTCTCTACACATTCCCTTTGATATTGACAAGGAGAATTTGTTTAACAATCAAAGCTTCATTGGTTGGCAATCATTTCCCTAATTCTCATGATCTTAGTTAATTACTCAGCAGTATTACTGTCAGGAGATATTAGATGCTGGCACTCTCAGAATCCCCCTAATCTCCTGCTATTCTTATCTCTCTTTTTTTTATACTTCTCATGCACTCATTCTCCCTGCTACCACTTCCTAACCCAACCTAACAAAAGCAACAAATTGAATGCTTTGTAAATAAAAACATTTTATTAATGCTGTGACCAAACTAACAAAAGATACAGTTTTTTGACTATGTACTCAGTAAAAGAGAAGGGTTTGTTTATAAAGAAAATTATTTAACTGTGGGCTGAAATCCAATATCACAGTGTTCAAAAGCTATGGTGCACATGCATAGCACAAGGGTACAGTTTCGAAAATTGATGATGGTGGTTATTTCATCTAGTTTCTGAAAAATATGTACAAAGTTTTGACTCTCAGTAGATTTCTTTTATGAAGTTTTAGAAAAGGAAAGCAAAAAAGCAAAGAGGAGCATGCTTGCAACCTGCAATATATCATGTTCCACAGTTTAATTCTCAAGTTGACAATATGTAAGAAAGAAAGATCAAAATTATGAAACAAAGATATGGCTGCAAAGTTGTATATAACACAAATTGAGAAAACATTTAGATTGGTTTGATTTTGAAGTGGAGACCAATTAGAGAAAACACCATACACTTGAGGTCTTGAACCAAGTAGTAAAAACTTCTTAGGCCATCAGGGTCTCTATGAGACAACAAATCAAAACAACTACATATTAAATCTTAACTTTTGTGACTGATATGTCATAACTAAAGATGCAAGTCAATGATTTGACTAAACATCTCTATTTTACATGACCAAAATAACTGTACTTATTATTTCCCACTTAAGCTTCATATTCCAAATAATATTTTTCTGATTTGTAAACCCATGATAGCACAGAATATTGCCCATACCTTGTCCCACACTCATGACAAGACGAAAAACATCTTTCTTTATTTCTTTACCAAGCTCAAAACTTGCCACCTCCCTTATTCTATATACAAACATGACACTATCAACATTGCTGATCCTTGCAGTATGCAGGATGCATGTCAGATATGAACTTCATAATGGGCCTCACTCACTATAGAGTCTCTGTTGCTCAGTGGTAGAGCATCAGAGTGCAAAATCCAAAGTTCTGAGGTTTGATTCCTCATGGGGACTCCTTTGTCCCATGCTCACAACAAGACGAAAAACATCTTTCTCTATTGCCCATGTAATTTTTAAGCTGATATTTGGCACAGACATTGTTTAATTCCTCTAAAATCATGAAATCGAAAGAAAACAAAGACTCCATTGCCTCAACAAAACACATTGCATTTATAACTACAAGATAATTTGGTCACTTTCAAGTGTTTCAAAAACTGACGTTTTGAGCATCATTGTTACCCTTTTTGCAGGGTAGATAATGAAGTCTGTTTATATAAAAATGAAAGCACATACTTGCACTGGTTGACATCAACAAGAGACCCAATCTTGGAAGTTGTAAATGAAATATGCTGATTATCCATCACTATTTCAAGTTCCTGCAGAAAAATTAGAAAATTTTGGTATGGAATAGAGACAAACATTGATGTTGGAGTTATTTTAATTAAAGTATCTCTTACTTTCCAAAAATTACAAAAAAATCCTACCTGTCTTCCAACTCGGTCTGGCTGTGGCCAAAGGGTGTCGTCTTCTTTCAGTATCTGTATTTGGGAGATGCAGAAGAATATAAACTCATCATAAATATGTTAGAGTATCTGTAGCAGACCACCTGGTAAAATTTATTACATAGGAAAGATGGAAACAATCATCATTAGGGAGGCCATCAAGTGGAAAATTAGACAGAAATACAAACCTCACTGTCTTCAATTATCCTTTTAAGTTCATCCATAACAGATTTGTGTACAAATGCCTAAGACGAAAACAAATATTTTACTGATGATAACTGGAGGGAAAGTGGTAAAAAAAGAACAATCTTGGTTTTGAACAAAGATGTTATCAGCCTAGTAAGCAATCTGCCACCTAACTTGATTTTTTTTATTCACGTTGGTTACTTTCAACATTGCTTAGCCTTACACAAGTTCATAAAATCACACATTTTAGGCTGATCTATATCCTTTAGTATAATATTATTATTACAAAGCTTGGTATTCTGAACGCTCAAGGACTCCTGTCTTTCCTACAGGTTTTTCCCTAGATATTAGACATTTGATCAAGCAGTGAAAACAAAAGCAACAGGCAGGTCATAGTCAAACACTAAAATACAAAAATTAGGGGAAAGGCAGAGCTTCATGAGATCAGTCTAACGATCTTGACACAAATTCTTAAGCTAGGATTGAACTTGGTGAAATAATGTGTTGTAGAACTTGTTTTGAACAACTGTCTTCTTATACATTGTCAAAAATCAATCACAGAAAACTTAACAATGCAGAAATGATTGCTTGTGCCAAAACGATCATGTAAAAGGCATTAGATTTGTGTACAACGAGCCCCCTCCCTGATGTTACAAAATCCGCCACTGTATGTGCCAAAAAGATATCAAGGCTAAAGGGTGAAAGAAGCAAAGTGGTAAATGAGACTCTGAGATCAAAGGATTAATTTGAAAGCTTGCATTCTCAAGGATATCCTGTCACTGTGAAATTATCGCTTATCATGATCAGAGAGACAAATATTTCTTTCTGGTATTTCAAAAAGCACTTTTCCAAAATTATTTAAGACAAGAATTTCCTTTATTCTCGATATATGAATGATCGTTTGAAAAACACAATTATGAATAGATTATTTTCTTTGGCCAAAATTACAAGTAAAAGGCAAAAACAAAGACAGCTAAGCTACTCCTTTTAAGATCAAGACTAAGTAATTTAGCAAATAAAGCTACGAATCGATGTTTCTTTTGAAGTAAATAATAGCCTCTTGTGATAATGAAGGAATTCATCGAATTTAACTAAAGCTTACCTCTTTGCGAATCATCACATCATTCTTGTAGTTCGAGTTGTTTGCATACCGAAGTTTGCCTGAAAACAGGAAAAGAACTTAAGAAAATTTATTAGAGAAACGCTCAAAGATTGGAACATTTCTTTACCTTCAGGTCGGAACTCGAATTCTAAAAACTCGTGGCCAAATTTCCCTTTGTGTCCGACGTAGTAGCGAAGATAGAAGTCCGCCATTTTGAAATGATGAATAGAAGCGTGCACGGTAAGAGAGTGAGTCACCAGTTGTTAATGTCAGCGGTTTTACTTAAATTCATTTGATAAAATCATATAAGGAAACAAAATGACTGTTGTATCTCTAGGCGACCAAATTTACTGTTTGAACCGGCATATGAAAAAGGAATTATACTTTGTTGAACAACAACTTTACATATGATTCTTCTACAAGTTGAATCTCCAATCTGTTATATCTAAGTAGGCAAACAGAAACTAGATGATAGAATGAAAACCCATCCTTAAATATTTGGAGGAAAAAACAGCCAAATCTTAACTTTATCTAGTTTATAATTCGGCTGGCTAGGAAAGAGAAAATTTCTGCTTTTTGTCTGGTTTGTAAGTGTAGTGTGTAATTGATAGTTATATTAGTGGCTTAGTGGACCAAACTACGCATAAGATAGCTATCGATAGCCAAAAAATGCCTTAAAATGTAGACGGAACAGCGCTGATGCCCAACAGAGAGCTGATCAGTAACAGACGACACTTGAAGTGACCTCATAACCATCAAAATGAATTCACTTTCTACAACCCTAAGTGGTAGAAGTTAACTTCTTCTACTAAATTTGTGACTATGTTCTCTTTGTTGTCTTCAAAAGAAGCGCAGAGGATTCCAAGGCTAGTCGTAATTCGATTAATTTCTAAGCTCACTTTCCAATTCATTTTCTTTTAGTATACGGATCTTCTTTTATATGAATAAAGACATTCTCAGTTGGAAATGCTTTCTAAATTTTTTTATTTTATTCTACTGATTCCTCTGTACATTGATATCATGGGGCACCTGATTCTTCTTGCCGATATTTTTGTGGTATTTCAAGGAGGAACCGTTGACGTGATAATTTATCGTGTAATTGCACGCCTTCTTCCATGTAAAAAGGCTATCAGCCGTTAATTTATAACTAACTACATTTAAAAGACCCTCAATGAAATAAAGATGCCGATATAATTGGGTTCTCCATTCCTTAACCGTGCGACAACAGGACAATCGTATAAAGTTCGTGAGAAGCAAAACAAGCTTCAAACGTTAACTTGGATGAAAATGCGGGACAAAAAGGGCGGTGCTTAGGACGCCAACTGACTTTGCGCCGCGTCTCAATTACGCCTCACAACGGAAAAACGGTCTAAGGCTAGAGATTCTCTTTGTGACTTTTTAGACTGGTTTAAAAAAATTAATAAGATATAGCTGATGAACTAGACGCACCATTGTTCGCCAGTCTAATTGAGCGACGGTATAATCGTCGAGGTGTTGTGTTCGCGAACGTTATTTTTCGGTTAAGATATGATAATTGATACGAATTTCTTGTTATTCATGGAAAGTTTTTTTTTTTTTTGAAAAAACATCATATGCTTGACGAGATTTTATCAGCCATAACATATCCGCCCACATGCATGATAAAGTATTTACTAAATTTAGTATTTCTGACTGCGGAATCTGCGCAGTCGTAGATCTGCCTGTTCGGTTGGCGATCTAATTATAACCAATCAGTGAGGGGAGTTAGAAGCATCAAAAAGTATTTAGATCAGGAATTTTCTTAAGAGATAAGGCTGTATGGAAAATGAATTACTCTTTCAGTTCCATGGTTTCACGCAAGACTTAGCTCATGCATTTACGCCACTGCTACAGCACGCGCCTAATCACTAAAGCGAGGCAAGTGCGGTCTCCAACGCAGTCAAGCGTTTTGTCCTACTGAAGTGGAAAAAAGCCGTTGAAGAAATAAAAGCTAAAAAAATAAACTGACCTCACTCAATTAGACCGTTAGAGATCATTTTTATTAAAATCGGCTAGTGTGTGCGCTTCTCAAAGCTTTCCTTATTAACTAAAAGGAACCGCTTCTTTGGCTTATATCTCTCCGGGTATTGTTCTGGATAATTACTCTCCTAGAAAAATCTACTCTGCTGTTGATGACGGCGAATCTAAAAAATGTCAAGGAACATAACACTCTGCTGGCAAAGACCAGTTTAGATCCAGCCTTTTCTGAACTCTTGAATAGTTTTCGGTACATAAAGGGATAAAAAAGGCTTGTCTGCTAAAAGTTGCCGGCGAAATAATCTACACATGATTCATTGAGTTACGCAACCGTGACGAATCAGACCTCCTATTCCCGCCTGTGTTTTTTTATGTTGCCATGGTAACCAGATATTTCTCTTTTTGTGGAAAAATGTACTTGACACCTCTACACAATTGTTTAAATTCCGTATAAAAAGAGAAATGAGACGGGAAATTGACAGTTTCACTCACATGCTCGCCTACCTTAGCTAATCGAGCAATTTTACCCACACGCGCGTCTGTTTGAGATTGGATATATTACGGAACATTTCCGCTTGTCATCGGGGATATTGTATTTCAAAGATCTTATCTAATTCAAAATTTATAACCCGTTACATGAATTCAAATCTTCATTTCACCGCCAACATGCATCGAGGTAACTTCGCGTGGCTGTTTCTGGTCATACTCGTCTCTGATGGTCTCCAACTTATGATTTGTGTTCCAAGTAAGCTACTTTCCTCTAAAATAACTCTTATTTGTTTAATTTTAGCAGTTTGCATTTCTTGTTTTTCCTTCATTTTAAAACGAATTCCTTTGCATTTGCTTCAGTGGACACAGATGAAAAACAAGAGAACTATTCAAAAAAGAGCGCCTTGCCGTTTGCCCGGCAGTATGAAGAGGTATGTCCTCGCACGCCGTCTAATGAAAGCCAAGTCATTTTTTAATCATATGTAGCATAACGTAGTCTTGGAGGAGAGAACTGATTTCCGATGGACCGTTAGAGAATAGGAGCCCCTATGTCCCTCCGTAAAGGATCAGTTAATTTCCATTTGTTTAAAGATCAAAACAAAGGTTTAATCAAAATTACAGTTAAATTTAAAGGGGTTTTACCTGCCCTTGTTAAAATCAGTTTAAAGTTTTAAACTCCAGGTTGAAAATCACTTTGCAGTGTATTTTTAGCGTTTTACGATAAAGAAGAAAAAGAAGCTTGCTCGCGAGAAGTTTTCGAAATTGTTATCCTAAAAGCAAGCACTTCGCACAATATTGTTTCGCCGTTTGTTTGTATGGGTTAAGCGTCAGTACGCTATTAGTATTTGCGGAGGGCTTTACCGGTTATCCAGAATTCAAATCTTACGAATTTGAATTGCGCGCGGGTGGGCTTGGCCACATTTGAAAAACAGAGAGCGCAAAATTGCAATTTCGGTTTTAAAAAGCGGTCAAGATCATTCTCAAACGCTGCGACAATATAATGGTGTCAAGGCTGCTTTTAAGGGGAGTAAAATTTTATTTCTAAAGAAAACATATCGTAGCAAACAAACAATGGATCACTCTCTAGAAAAAACACGCCATGCCGCCTGTGGTTGTCTGTGTTGACGCGAGCAATTTTTTTCCTGCTACCCATTTCAGATTTCGGCCGATTCCGAATTCTTCTCATACCGAAAAGCAGCAGTTGTTCTTATAATAAAGAAATTTACGAAGTAAATTCGCTCCCACGAGGTATGAAAGTGAGAAGTACCACAACTGACATTATCACCTTCATTATAAAGTAATTCTCAAGAGATTATTACTAATATTTCGCTTGCAAAAGCTTCTTATTTTAAAATATTTCTAAAATGAGCTCAGAATAAATAAATGCATTAGTAACTAATGCAATATAATTTTAACCTAAACGGTTAAATGTTAACAATGTACTTCTGTCGTCATCGCTGTAATCGTGTTTTTTCATAACGAGCACGCGAATATCTACTTAGAGATTCAATATTCGCTTGATACTTATGCAATTGTCCATACTGGTTAAAATTCAAGATCATATCGTTATGTGTTGTCTTTAAAAAACGTGCTGTCGATAAGGAAAAGCTCACAATATATCATTCAATAACATTTTCATGGATCAGAGCACAGAATGAATTTTCAAATCCAGGACAGTTAAAATTCAAATGAAGTGGCCTCAGTTTAAATGTGACGCAATGAATAAAGCAGCTGATGACTTATCAGTTTGTTTGTCTTGTCTATTTAGGCCGTAAAACACATTAAAATGTAAATAAAATGACGGCAATTTTTTTGATAAAGTAAACAATTCGTGTCAAAAACAAATAACGGTTATTTTGATAGCAACGAATTACTTTTCCTTTTATCAATACACAGTATGTTAAAGAAAATATGCAAATGAAGTTCTGGTTGAAAATTATTGCCTCCAATGCATGAATCAAAAGACAACGCTTCCAGATAAATAAAAAAGAATAAAAGATTAATTAATGGGGCAAAATCATGAGTAATTTAGGTTTGTTAATTTATAGATGGGTGTTCTTCTCAGTTAAAAAAAGAAAAACCCAGTTTCGCTTCGCGTATTATCCACGGGAGAAAATAAAATTTTTTTTAATAGGCCATAGAGGCCGTTAACTGCCAACAATGATTAACTTTCCTCGCCTTTTTTTTTATGTCTGACCAATATGCAAACATTCCTAAGCTTAAAACCGTTTGAATATCAAACACGCTGATTAATATTGCATGTGACCGTGTCAGGGTGGATTCCAGAGTCGAATTGAGAGTGATAATCAACGGCTGAGTACAAAATGAGTACCAAATTCGAAGTTCTTTACACGGGATAGAGGTGGTAACCCAACAAACTGCCTGGAACAAAATTATACCAGACGAAAGGCATCTTTATTTTTAAATACCCAAGGTTGTTTAATGATGAAGAAGATTTTAAGTATGAAGCTTGCATTCATAACACCTTAACAAGTTAACTTCGTCACTTGCATCACGAAATCATATATTCAACATGTTCAACTGCTGATCTAAGATACCTTTCAGATATCGAGGAGTCTACCGTTCTCTTCGCAAAGATCAAACTAAGCCAGTATTTTTATTCGAAAATTGAGCAACGGAGCATAACCAAATATTCAACGATTATTGTACCAGGTGATGTGTGACATCGTGATTTATTACCGGTGCGCAGATCTTTATTTTCCCGAAGGCGAAGGCTGAAGCAAACAATTTATCTGC